TCATCTAGGATTGTTGTGATACACTACACTAACTTGCTATTGAGTTCATCATTACGAGTTCGACTAACATATCTTAAGTTCTAAGACGTGATAAATTGCCGAGTTGATTCAAGTATAACAAATATCTGTAGGACTAAGAGAAAATCCTAAGGTCAGAAACTCCAACGTGTAGAATCAGCTGCCGCAGCCTTTCAACTTAAATGTTAAGATAAACGAAAACGAACCCAATGACAACGTACAGAAAAAAAATATAATTTAAGAAAGAATATTAGACTGGGAGGAATTATTGAAAATATAGTTCCAAATCGAGGTTTTTCCAACGATCTAAGTCAAGATATATTAGTAAATCCTTTGAATGATCCAATAGAAGTTGACATATCAAGTAACAATAGTGATCAAATAATTAAACCTATTCAACCTATTGAAAAACTATTCATTTCTTCCTAAGAAATTACCAAAAGACGAGTCAAAAGGAAAACAAAAAGGTATTAGTAGTAGTGATGGTGGTGGTATTAGAAAGAATCCTATCGTTATTATTAAACAGAGTATTTCTAATGATGGTGATAATGATGATGATAATGATTAGAATGACAGTAATCTCAATTCTATTGAAGAAAGTCCGAATGAATATTCTTCATCCAGCGGTTTTGGTGTATCAGAAATGGAAGATATATATGATGATCCTAAAAAATCTATTGTTGATTTTAACAAAAGTTCTAACTGGATTGTCTTGTGGATTTTGTTATATTAAGAAAGGTATAAGCTATCTGATGTTGCTACCAATTCTTTGATTAAATTTTTTAGATATCTTTTAATTCTTTTGGACGCAAACACATATAATTCTTTTTCCACATCACTATATATGACACAAAAAATACTCAACATATGTACTCATATTGTAAAATATGCAGCATGTGAAAAATGCTGTAAATTATATAATATAGCAGAGATATCAACCGCTAAACCTACCCAATCTCCAGTTAAAAGCTATTGTACTTATATCGATTTACCAAACTATCTGATGGCAAATCAAAGAAAAGAATATATAGCGAAATTTACCAAAATAGTTCACACTATAGATAGAGTATTATATCAGCTTTCTTTAATATACCCAACTATTAGTTTAAAACATCAATTACAATTGATGTACAATCGAAAAGGATTTGAGAAATCATGTAGGAAATGGGCAGATTGGTATAGTGATCCTCAATATTTGAATAATATTTATGATGAAAGAGTTTGGAAAACATTTCAGGACTAAAATCAAAATTTACATTTTTCAGAAGGAAGTGGCTGATAGACACCTGAGAATTATACTAAATATCGATTGGTTTCAGCCATTCGATAATACCAATTACAGTGTAGAAGCTGTGTATGGTATAATATGCAACCTTTCATAAAGTGAAAGGTTTAAGCCATCAAATGTGTTGACAATGGCTTTGATTTCTAGTCTAAATGAGCTAAGCCTGCACCATATAAATTATTATTTGAGTCTGATAGTCAATCAATTAATTGAATTATAGGATGGGATTAAACTATTAGCAACATATGAAAGTACTAATAAGCCTATTCGAGCTGCGGTAATATGCTATTTTTGTAACATTTCAGCCACAAAAAGCTTTGAAATTATATATCTGTATGCATAGCCTATCATAGATGTTTACAAAAAGCACAATTTGATGATCATAATCAACCAAATTTCGGTGGATTTGATGATATTGATGAATGGTTTGTTGAAAGGGACATCAATCAAGTTCAAAAAAATGTATAAGAATGGTTGGGCTGTAATACTAAAGATGCTAGAATTATCCACATATATAATACTTCAGTGCGTTAGTCTGAAATGTACCTTCTCACATATTTTGATTTAGTCTGATTTCTCATTGTTGATCCTATGTACTATTTGTTTCTAGGTATCACAAAATGGATTATAATATGACTATAGATTAAAGAAGATCGATTAAAATAAAATGATCTTAAAATAATGCAAAATAGGGCTAAGCTAATAAAAGTTCTAGCAGATATTGGCAGAATTTCATATAAAATTGATACAGGAGAAGGATTCTCAGGTTTTACCATAGATCAGTAAAAAACCTTCATCCTTGTATATGTAACTATGATTACTTGAGATCTGCTTCGAGAATCAGATAGAGTAATTCTTATCAATTTTGTTAGCGCATGCAATATTCTTGTATGTAGAACTGTATTTAAAGATGGGTTAGAAGATGTTTACGAATAACTCTTAACAATAGTAAAGCTTATCGAGAAGAATTACAGTCCAGAAAAAATTTCGCCGAATTTACATTTATGTTTACACATTTGTCATTGTACTTTAGACTATGGTCTGTTATATGCATTTTAGTGCTTTAGTTATAAAAGGATGAATGGCTTATTGGATAATTATAATACTTCTATCAAATTTACTGATCTTTATTTCATATTTATTAAATTATTTTATATTTATAGGTTTATACCATACTAGTAACAGAAAAATTGAGCCAGAACTATTGAAAACCATTCAGTATAATTCCCTTCTTGACTAGTTTTTTTCATATACTCAAGATCATCAACATTTATCACTTGTTTACCTTTAATAACGCCAAAAGAAACTACCAGTAGTCTTGCAGTTTAAGATGAACTTAATAGAATAGACTATTGTGAATTTTTATCAATGTCTAGAAATGTTGAAGAAATGGTCAGAATAGATTCAGAATCCTTTCTGGGTGTTTTTCTTAATCCTAAAAGAATAAATATAGACCTATCAAAAGAAATATTAGATTTATTAGTTAAATATTATTGTGATGCCTATAACAAAGATTTTGTAGCATTGTCAAATATTCATGTTGTCAACCCAGAAGCTATACCGGTACTTTCAAAGTGAATATTTACGGGCGATTACAACTTGACTCTGAAGTTTTCAGATCATCATACTCTAAAAGACACATCTGATCATCTAAAATTCTATCTCAATTTACACATATAAATACTAAAGAAACTTATCTTGGAATTGTTCAATATTATTTTGAACATACTGTGCATTTTTCAGAAGTATTTAAGAAACATTCGTAAGGTGGTATCTTCTGGTAGAGGATCATAAAACTAGATTTCACTGCAAAATTGATAGCGATGATAATTCTTGCAATATTGAACTATGGAAAAAAATATTTTACGATCTTAGTAGAGATTGTATAATTTCAGTTCATAGTATATTGGGTCGATTCATTGAAGGTTCTTTTACAATAGGCAAAAGGAAATACATGTCAGTAATACTGATTAATAGAAAGATTCATGTTTAGTAATTTTATATATATGCGTATGGTGTAAAAATAAAAAAAAATATTTTTTTGATTTAACTTCGCAATGACTATGCCAAAATCACATGATAAAATATAATTCAAAAGATAAAAAGCAGAAGTTCTTATTAAAGAAAATTTAATAAATAATATTCCCATTTTTCTCAATAACAAGTCATTTACACCTTTAATGATGATTTTTCTAGAAGAACTTTTTTTTTTGTAAATAATACTTAGACAGCTTATCGGATAATATTATTTTGTAATATCGTAAACCCAGATCAAATTATAACAATTCCTATATATTTTGATGATTTACTGATACTTTTAAATAGATTAATAACAGATCATAAATATATCTATTAGTAATCAGAAAACTGATATGTTGCTTATTATTTACCAATTAAAAAAATATTGTAATTTAAAAATCATCAATATCTTATAAGGTATAATTCATAAGTCTATTGGAATTCTGATTATTTAATGATAGAAATAATAAAAATCAGTTAAGAATTAAAAACCTAATTGGTTCTGATTCTTAACCAATTCTTATTATACTGATTCTTCATCATTTGACTTGTGTATATTGATGGGTTTAATATTCGTATAGAAATAATTTTTTTTGTAACTTTACTAAATAAGTCACACTTTTTTAATTTCACAGGATAATTTGAGCATTTTGATCAAAGTTAATCACCTTTTATCTCTAAGTGAAAGTTGTTCAACAGGTTTGATACTATTTATATCTAATGTTTTATATTGACTGGATTAATATATTCGTGTAGAAATATTTTTTTTTGTAACTTTACTAAATAAGTTACAC